CACACACTGGTATACACGTACATACACACACTGGTATACACGTACATACACACACTGGTATACACGTACATACACACACTGGTATACACGTACATACACACACTGGTATACACGTACATACACACACTGGTATACACGTACATACGCACACTGGTATACACGTATACACACACACTGGTATACACGTACATACACACACTGGTATATACGTACATACACACACTGGTATACACGTACATACAGATACAGGAATACACGTACATACGTGTACCGGTATCAACGTAAATACGTGCACTTAAATCAACCTACATACGTGCACCTAAATCAACCTACATACGTGCACCTGACTCAACGTACATCCGTTGCAATTATTTACGTACATACATACACCGGTATCCACGTACATATACGTCTTATTTTCCTTAGGAACGATAGCTTGAGGTCGGATACCCGGTAGCTTTCCACGGAATGTCGGATATCCGGTAAATTTCCACAGAAGGTCGGATACTTGGTAGCTTTCCATGGAATGTCGGATACCCGATAAATTTCCACGGAAGGTCGGATACCCGGTAGCTTACCATGGAAGGTTGGATATCCGGTAGCTTTCCACGGCACAATAATTTTCTACTTCAACACACTCTGGAAGTCAATTATTAAGGTGTCTTCTTGGTGTCCTCAAGATATACGTCACGACACTGGGAGAGTGAGCTGGGTCTCTCCCCAGCAGCGAGGCGGGTCTGCCCCCAGCAGCAGGAGGCTGACGGTGTCGGTGTCCGGTGCAGGAGACAGATACGAGAAGGACTCCAAGCTCTCGTGGAAGTCGTGGTTCGAGGCACTACACAGGAAGGAGACTAATTCGGCGTCTGTGGTTGCGTGCGCCGGGGCGAGTTGCTGCTGCTGCTGCTGCTGCTGGGTCTTGCTGGGACTGGTGGTGGGGCTGTAGTGGTGGACAGGCTGGGGTTGCTGGGGGCTGGGAGCGTCGCCTAGGATGCTAGAGAGGATCCAGGAGTAGGTGTCCTCCTGGGCGTTGCCGTCCAGGATGTCCTGGAGGGACCTGATGTACGCGGAGGCCAGTTTGAGTGTGGTGATCTTCGTCAGGTCGGTGGAGGCGCGGCGACTACACACCCAAGAGGGCAACACACCACGAAGGCTGTCGAAGGCGGTGTTGATCTGCCGCATGCGGTACCGCTCCCGGGCGTTGGCGGTCTTCCTGCGGTACCTGGAGAGTGGCGGCGGCCGCGGCTTGTGCCGCAGTGTGTCCTGGAAACTCCAGTCACTGTCGTAACAGTGGCGCCTCGATTTCTCAGAGCGCGGCCGCAACTGGTACTTGGTAACTGCGATTCCTTTAGCATTCCCTGAGTACTTGTTGCTGCTGTTGTTGTTATTGTCCACTGACACACCCATCTGGTCGCGCGCCCTCACTACATTGTCTGATTTGGCCATTTTCAGGACAGGACTCAATCTTCCCCGCGGGCACTGGAGGTCAGCATGCCAACGACCTTACTTAACCTTGGGCTGCACAAGTCTGTCCAGTTACAGCCCCGCTCCTGTGAGAGGTAATTCCACTACGGGCTCACCATAACCCGTGCTACTTGGAACTTTTTGTTCCTAGTAGCTGTATCTAAAACAACAACAACAACAGGTCTGTTGCACAGTCGCCACTGTTAAAGCAACACAGACGCAGTTAAAGCAGACGCAGCCCGATCACAGTTTCTTGGCAATCCGAAGGTTTTCTTCGCCAGGCTTCTCCACCTGCTGTGAAGAAAAATATACCGTAAAGCACTTCTTGAGGGGCTAGTGTCTCCCGTCACCTACAGTAATAACAGTAAAGTGGCTTTAGTGTTTTTACGGCAATGCTGAGAATGCGAAATTGATTTTCCTTAGAGTGGCCTTACCCAAGAGGGAGGCAGACTGGCAGGCAAGGCAGGGCCGGTAGGTAAGAGTGAAGTTCCCCGCGTATCCTCCGTCAGGCAGACCCCGAACCACTGAGTCCTCGCCTCTCCGTGCACCGTACACCACTGAGACTTCGCCTCCCACCGGCCCCCTCCCGGTGTCTCACTCTCTCTCTTCCTCTCCCTCTCTCTCTCTCTCTCTCTCTTTCCTGCTCTGAGTAACCACCAGCCTCGCCGCCCGTGATTCCTCACATGTTTCGCTATTTCTCGCCTTTTCTTCGTGTTTAAGGCGGTTTATCTCGTATTTTTAGCCGGTGGCGAGTTATTCCGAGGCTAGTGGACCCGGGTGTGAGGCGTGATCGGGTCGAGCAAGCAGCTGACACCCGGTAATTGGCTGGTTTGTTCACAGCTTTGACCTGGCGTGCTGAGGTCACTCCAGCCTTGACTCCCCACAGATGAAAGCTGCACATACAAACGTCATCGTTCACTAAGCATATAACAATGATGCTTCTTGATCAGGCATATGGCGGAATGCCAGTTTGGTGATTGTGCAATGCTGAGCTCAGAGCAACTAATGCACTAATTAGTATTAAACAACTATTTCTGAGCTAAACGAGTATTTCAACAATTAACCACTTTTGCAAATTGTCTTAAAATGTATCGGGCATAATTATTAGACAATTTCAGCTTTTATATCACCGTCTCCAAAGGGATGGGTATGGGGGCCACCACCGCCCAAGGGATGGGTATGGGGGCCACCACCGCCCAAGGGATGGGTATGGGGGCCACCACCGCCCAAGGGATGGGTATGGGGGCCACCACCGCCCAAGGGATGGGTATGGGGGCCACCACCGCCCAAGGGATGGGTATGGGGGCCACCACCGCCCAAGGGATGGGTATGGGGGTCACCACCGCCCAAGGGATGGGTATGGGGGTCACCACCGCCCAAGGGATGGGTATGAGGGGGTGCGGGTACGGTGGCTGGAAGGAGTTTACATGTACATTCCATTGAAGGACGTCCACACGTGTCAAAAATCTAAAAAAATCCAACTGTAAACACCACATAGCCAACTGTATACACCACATAGCCAACTGTATACACCACATAGCCAACGGTATACACCTCATAGCTAACTGTATACACCACATAGTGGTGTATACAGTGTACAACACATAACTAGCTGTATACACCACATAGCCAACTGTATATACCACATAGCCAACTGTAAACACCACACAACCAACTGTATGTACCACATAACCAACTGTATACACCACATAGTCAAATGAATACACCACATAGCCAACTGTATACACCACATAGCCAACTGTATACACCACATAACCAACTGTATGCACCACATAGCCAACTGTATACACCACATAGCCCACTTCATACACCACATAGTCAAATGAATACACCACATAGCCAACTGTATACACCACATAGCCAACTGTAAACAACACATAACCAACTGTATACACCACATAGCCAACTGTTTACACCACATAGCCAACTGTAAACACCATATCACCAACTGTATACACCACATAGTCAATTGTAAACACCACATAGCCGACTGTAAGCACCACATAGCCAACTGTAAACACCACATAGCCGACTGTAAACACCACATAGCGAACTGTAAACACCACATAGTCAACTGTAAACACCACATAGCCAACTGTAAACACCACATAGCCAACTGTATACACTACATAGCTAACTGTATTCACCACATAGCCAACTGTATTCACCACATAGCCAACTGTATACACCACATAGCCAACTTTAAACACCACATAGCCAAATGTAAACACCACATAGCCAACTGTATTCACCACATAACCAACTGTATTCACCACATAACCAACTATATTTACCACATAGCCAAATGTAAACACCACATAGCCAAATGTAAACACCACATAGCCAACTGTATTCACCACATAACCAACTGTATTCACCACATAACCAACTGTAAACTCTACACAGCTAACGGTAACCACCACATAGCCAAATGTAAACACCACATAGCCAACTGTATTCACCACATAACCAACTGTATTTACCACATAGCCAAATGTAAACACCACATAGCCAAATGTAAACACCACATAGCCAAATGTAAACACCACATAGCCAACTGTATTCACCACATAACCAACTGTAAACTCTACACAGCTAACGGTAACCACCACATAGCCAAAAAATACCACCTCCATACCCAGTACTATACCTCCACCATTATTTTCACTACCACAATACCACCACTATACCACCACTTTTTTCACCACAACAATACCACCACTATACCACCACTCCCACTATCTTTCCCACTTATCTAACCACTTTACCACCACCACTATATCACTACCACTATACTACCTCCACTTTTCAACCACCATCACCATACCACCACAACCCTTATTCGACCATTACCTCCACAACCACCATACCTCCACTGTATCACCACTCCACCACTATACCACCACAACTATACCACATTCATACTACCACCACTATTCCACAACCTCCACAACCACCATACCTTCACTGTACCACCACCACCACAACCATACCACTTCCATACTACCACCACAACCACCACTATACCACCACCATCACCACCCCTTTACCACCAGGTCCATACTATCACTACTACCGTCATTTTCACCACCAACCCTATACCACCAATACTTTACCATCACTACTACCACAATTTTCACAACCCTGTCAAACACCACCTCCACCACATCTACCACAATAACTACCGCCACTACAATCCACTTCCGCCACTGCCATTATAACTACCACTATAACTATCACTACCACCACTTCTATACAACCACCATCACCACCACTATGACACCACTACCCCACAACGACTACCATCACTACTACCACCACCATCACCACCACAACTACTTACAGCTTTTCCACCTCTACCACCATTTCCACCACCACCAATAACACCACCACATTCACCACAATTGTCACCACTTCCACAAGCACTACCACCAACTCCACACCACCACCACCACCACCATCATTACTGTGCCATCAATATCACCACTATATAACACAACTACCCCCCCCCCCTGTACCACTACTATAAACCACAACTATCACCATCACCATTGTACAAACCTAGTTCGACTCCCCTAGCTGTACTCACCTATTTGTACTCCCCAAGTTGTACTCATGTAGTTGTACTCACCTACTTGTATTCACCTAGCAGTGCTCACCAAGGTATACTCACCTACATGTACTCTCCTAGTTGCTCTCATGTAGTTGTTCTTACCTAGTTGTACTCACCCATTTGTGCTTCAATGATATTTAATGCAAAATATATTATAAAACAGATGCATGTGATAAAGAGGTATTTTAATACACCTTAAATTTTTTTTATTTTAATAAAAATGTTATATTTAACATGTGTGTCCTTCATACACCTATGAAAATACATCTTAAATTTATGTTAATGTATTTTACATAGAGTACATAAATATAATTTTAAACGTGAAAATTATTATTATTAAATATTATTTATTTAATTTTATTTATTAAATATTATTATTATTGTTATTATTAAATATTATTATTTTTATTAATTAAATATTACTAAATATTATAAATAAAATATTATTATGTAATATAGCATTTAGCAAATAGTGTTATAAAATAATTTTTAGCAAAATCATATTACAGAAATTTTATTAAAGATTAGATTAGGCAGCATTTATCATATTACATAAAGAAGTACTTTTACCATGCTTGGGTTAAACGTGGCTCCCTAGTCATAAGCTCAGGTGCCTTGAGCAATGACCGTGGGATAATGATGGCCATACAATGGCTGTGGTATAATGATAGCAGTACAATGATGACAGTAAAATGATGGCACAACAATGATGGTTGTACAGTACAATGATGGCAGTACAATGATGGTGGTACAATGACAGAGGTACAATGGCGGAGGTACAATGATTACAATACAATGATTGCGGGATAATGACGCCGATACAATAACGGTGGTACAATGACGGATGTACAATGACGGCGATACAAAACGTCGATGCAATGTCGGAGGTACAATGATACCTATACAAATGACGGTTTTACTATGATGCCTGTACTGTACAATGACGGCAATACAATAACGGTGAAATAATGACGGCTCTACAATGATGGCTGTAAAATGATAGCAATACAATGACGGGTATACAATGAAGGTTGTGCTATGAGAGCGATACATTGACGGCTGTACAATGACGGCTGTACAATAACAGCTGTACTATGAGGGCGGGACAATGACGCCTGTACAATGTACAATAACATAAGGCGGTACTATGACAGCTGAATTATGACAGCTGTACAATGACGGCTGTACAATAACGTACGGCGGTAGCATGACAGCTGTATTATGAGGCCGGTACAATGACGGCTGTACAATAACGTACGGCGGTAGCATGACAGCTGTATTATGAGGCCGGTACAATGACGGTTGTACAATGACGGGAGTGAGAGTGAGCTATATCGCTCACCGCTAACCAATAAACCTGACCTAGTGAGGTTTATATTTTAGCGTTACGCGTGACACCAATGTACTGGGTTTATGTATTAAGTGATATTGGTTTATATTTCGTGTTTAATAATTGGAAGATTTTCAGCCCATTAGGGTGAAGACCGACCCGTCAACCGTTCCTCAAAATTGGTCACTGGACAAAAACTGGTTCCTGTTAAAACTATTTTTAAAGAAACATTATCATGAACAAGTCAGAATCCTAATTACAATTTTTGTTAAGTATCGTACGCCATTTATGAGCCTTGGTATAACGGCTGAGGTCAAACACTGGTGACCTTTGATGACTTGGAGGAGGAGTGGGGGGGGGCAGAGATCCCTCCCAGGGAGAAAAGCCACATGGGCGTCTCGGCGATGCATTATACATTATACAGTAAAACAATATAAAGCGGATATATTGTAACGCAAAAAGTCGTATACATGTGGCAAACATTTCCACTTCACACTTTATTAAATTGCACGTTTTTGTATTACATTAACATTAATTTCTTGGAAATATTGGAACATTCATGATAAATATT